AGTATTCACTAACAGTACAAATGAAAAATTGTGAGAATCCAAGCTAATGAAGTTATACTAAGGATAGACAGGAGAAGGATGCAAAAGATATTGAGAACATAGATGTGTAAAATGTCTGCTTGGAATTGATCCAAGTGGGGCATTGAGGTTTTTTACAAATGGCTGCAGATTTTTTTACATCCCTCCAACTTGGCAATGGGGTTTACGTTCCCTCCTCTTGAACATAGCAGGCTGTGACTGCTTCAATCAATAGAATGAAGTGAAAGAGACACTAGGTGACTTCCAAGTTTTGGTCATAAGAGTCATGCAGCTTCCACCAGGCCAGCCACCTCATTAGAGGGTCATCTAATTACCCTGAGACGTCCACTGTGGAGAGGCCACATGGAGGTACTCCAGTCAACAGCCCCAGATGAACCCTGTCTCCCAACTATCCGCAGTAAAGTTCCAGAGATCGTTAGTGGACCATCTTGAACCCTCCAGACCAGCCCATCTGCCAGTTGAGGGCCTCCAAGTGACTGCATGCAAGGTCACTAGAACCAAAAAGAATTGCCCAGCTGAGCCCTGCATGAATTCCTGACCCATAATATTGTGAGCTATGTTAAAATTTTTATTTTAAAGCCATTAAGCATTGAAGATTATTTGCTACAAAGCAATAGATAAACTGTAACATGGAGCAATCTTGTAATTTATCACAAAACCCAGGGTATCTGGGGGGGCGGGGATGCAAGTGGGTGTTAATAATTTTGCCAAAACAGATAGATATGGTTTGTAGAGACGGTTTTCCTATCTATAAGCTTCTTGAGATTGTGTTCATTATTACATCACTAACTCCCAGCCTTGTGCATTAGTAAACCTTTATTGATGAAATACATCAGTTTGTTTTTCTTTCTTATTAATGCATACCTTACATAAAGTTGACAAATGTTAAACTAGATGAAGATTTAAATATAGATTGACCCATGTAACCACTACCCAGATCAAGATCTGGAACACATTTCCATCTCTCCTGATGTCTCCTTTGTGCTCGCTCCTAGTCTAAAACCCATCCCAAAATAATCATTATCCTATTGTTTTAATCTGTAACACCACGAATCAGTTTTGTCTGTGGATGAACTTCATAAAAATGAAATCAAAAAGTATGGTCTTGCTAAAATTTTAACTGTGAAAGTCAACCCCATTATATGCAGCAACAACTTCTTTATCATTGCTGTGTAAGATTCCATTGTATGGATATAGCATGCAACTTTTGATGGAGATTTTGGGTAATAATTCTTGGGCTATTCTGAATAATGCTGCTATAAATATTTTTTATGTCTTTTGATCCATCAGCTGACAATTCAATAAGACCTTTTAAAACAAAGTTTTAGAAATCACTGGCTCATTGCATTTATTTACTTAATCAATTTCTGGGAAGAATACTTTTTAAATTTTACCACTTTAGCAAGTGATTATTAATTTACCTGCTACTCTTTCACTTAGAACCATCTTTTTAAACCCAGTATACTCAGAAGGGGAGAGGAGAATGGTGATAGTGTTATCTGAATACACCTTTGTGAAGATTATATTGTCGCAAGTTAACTATTTTATTTATTTGTTTATTGAGACAGGATCTCATTCTGCCACCCAGACTGGAAAGTCATAGTGCAATCATGGCTCACTGCAACCTCAGGTAATTCTCCTGCCTCAGCCTCTCGAGTAGCTGGGACTGCAGGAACGTGCCACCACACTCAGCTAATTTCTTTTTACTATTTGAAAACATAGGGTCTCCCTGTGTTGCCCAGGCTGGTCTCCCTGTGTTGCTCAAGTGATCCTCTCACATTGGCCTCCCACAGTGTTGGGATTAAGTGTGAGCCACTGTGGCTGGCCCCAAGTTAAAGATTCATAGAGCGTACTTTCACTCTCAAGAATGCCCTTGTTCGATTGTAGGTTTTACAGTCACCTGAGTTTCTACACTCCAGGCAACACACCATAATGAGAACCAGGCTGGGTGAGAGATGTGCCTTTCTTTTGTAATGTGTAAGAAACATGATAATGACAGTGGAGGTGGTTTGCCTGTGTGTTCTCAGTCAAATAAACTTTAGGAAAGAGTACAAGTGGAAATTGAAGATCTGAATGTTGATTTCCTTTAAGTGTTTTTGTCTGTGAACCACCTGAAAAATCTTTGTCTATCCCCAGAAATACTTATACCACAGTTTGAAGACAGCACTGGGTTATTTTACCTAAAGTGGAACTCCTAACAAGATTAGACAACTGAATTTACTAATTAAAAATATTAAACCAACTGGTTATTCAGGAACTTAATTATGGTAAAGAAGTCCTAATACAAGAGCTTTTGTTCAATTGTAATAGTTTCCAAAAATTCACTCATTCATTTATTCAACAAATATTTCTTGAGCTCCAAATATGGACCAAGAATGGTTCTAGGCCCTGAGAAGACATCAGTGAATAGAGCAGACGTATCCCCATGTTTGCAAACTGGGAATTTACAGTGAATGGAAAATGGCAGTGATGTAAATAAGGAGGATTGATGGAGCCAGAGTCCACAAAAGGAGCCATGGAAAGAGACTTTGTGATAAATCTCAAGGCATGTTTTTTTCATTGTTTTTGGTTTACGGTTTAAAGGAACTTGTTCCCAACTTCTAACTGTACTGCAGGGCTATAGTAACCAAAACAGCATGGTACTGGTATAAAAACAGGCACATAGACCAATGGAACAGAATAGAGAGCCCAGAAATAAGGCTGCACACTTACAACCATCCGATCTCCAACAAAGCTGACAGAAACAAGCAATGGGGAAAAGGTTTCCTATTCAGCGAATGGTGATGAGACAACTGGCTAGCCATACGCAGAAGATTAAAGCTGGACCCTTTCCTTACATCATATGCAAAACCAACTCAAGATGGATTAACGACTTAAATGTAAAACCCAAAACTATAAAAAGCCTAGAAGAAAACATAGGTAATACCATCCTGGACATAAGAACAGGCAAAGATTTCATGACAGAGACACCAAAACAATCCAACAAAAGCAAAAATTGACAAATGGGATCCAATTAAACTTAAGAGCTTCTGCAGAGCAAAAGAAACTATCAACAGAGTAAACAGACAACCTACAGAATGGGAGAAAATATTTGAAAACTATGCATCTGACAAAGGTCTAACATCCAGCATCTGTAAGGACCTTAAACAAATTTACAAGATAAAACAAACAACTCTATTAAAAAGTGACAAAGAACATGAGCAGACACTTTTCAAAAGAAGACATATTTGCAGCCAACAAACATATGAAAAAAGCTCAATATTACTGATCATTAGAGAAGTGTAGATCAAAACTACAATGAGATACCATCTCACATGAGTCAGAATGGCTATTATTGAAAAGTCAAAAAATGATAGATGCTGGCAAGATTGCAAAGAGAAGGGAACACTTATACACTGCTGGTGAATTATTAGTTCAACAATTGTGGAAAGCAGTATTCCTCAAAGAGCTAAAAACAGAACTACCATTCAATCCAGTAATCCCATTAATGGGTGTATACCCAAAGAAATATAAATCATTCTACCATAAAGCAATATTCATGCAAATGTTCATTGCATCTCTGTTCACAATAGCAAAGATATGGAATCAGTTTAAATGCCCATCAATGACAGATTGGATAAAGAAAATGTGGTACATATACATTATGGAATACTACACAGTCATAAAAAAAAAAATAAGATTATGTCTTTTGCAGGAACATAGATGGAGCTGGAGGCTATTATTCTTAGCAAACTAACACAGGAACAGTAAATCAAATACTATGTATTCTCACTTGTAAGCAGGATCTAAATGATGAGAACACTTTAACACAAAGAAGGAAACAATAGACACTGGGGTCTACCTGAGATTGGAGGGTGGAGGAGGGAGAGGAGCAGAAAAGATAACTATTGGGTACTGAATCTAATACCCGGGTGATGAAATAATCTGTACAACAAACCCTCATGACATGAGTTTACCTATGTAACAAACCTTCACATGTACCCTAGAACCTATAATAAAATTTCTTTTTTAAAAAAAGAAACGTCATATTCAAGTATTTATATGAACATATGTTTAAATGCACATTGCTAATTAAAGTCATCAGCCCAATAACAGACGGAGAGCACAACAGACCAATAATGTGACCCCTAGATCCTGCAATGCTATTGTTTAGAGACCTGTTTGCATTTCTATTGGGGTCTCTAACTGCATTGCCTGTCAGTGAACTTGGTAGACACGTTTGAATTTTGTATTTACTTTTTAAGTTAGGAATAGACTAAGTCAATATTTCACATATTAACACTTAAAAGGAAAGTCATGGTGTTTTATTTAAATTTACACATTATGATCCTTCACAGAGCTATAAACAGAACTCTGGTTCATTAAATTGGTGATGACTCTTCCCTGCTGAGAACATTTATTTCTATTTAGTTGTAAGCCACAGGTTCATTTCTACTCATAAGTAAAGGGGACTTGGATGAGCTGTTATACAAGGTTTGCCAAAAAGTTTGTCCCTAAATAACTGCTCCCTTTAGCCTGTGGAGGTCTCTGAAGTAACCAACATTGCAATTAGTGTGTTTCCAAGAGACAATGATTCTAAACTCACCTAACACATGTCTGTCACATAAATGTTTATAAAATCTGAATGGGGAAAGAAAGATCCTTTAATATTACAAACTTATTAGTAAGAAGACCAACATGTTAAGTAAGCTCTTATCAATTTAAATGAGCTTGTATTTTCATTTTAACTGTCCAATTACTTAAGAAGGACCCAAGAAAAGGAGACAGAATAGCCATTTTCCTAAAATCTCCCTTTCTTAACACCACAATCCTGATTTGAAAGTTTAAGAGGAAACTAGGACTGTTCAGAGGTATTGAAAAAAAAATCCATTATAAATGTTCTACAAACACAGAGCTGCACCTCGAACTCCCCTCCTACAGCCCCCAAGTGCTAGAGAACAACAGAAAAGTTTTTTTCTCACGAAGAGTTTTTGTGATGGCTGCTCCCTGGGCTATGACAGAATGGATCCTGACCACATCTGGGCTCGGCAGGTGCTGCGATCCTCTAGGACTCCCTGTCATAGGCATAGGGAGGAGGAGAAAGAAGACAGATGGATACATTTGCCATTTCTGTGCGCTGCCATGACAATGACTGATAATGACGTGTCTGGCAATGAAACTTTGAGTTGGGTGAATTTCAAAGCTCAGGAAGTTAAAACCATCATGTCCCTAGCAATTGAGATTAGATCATCAAACAGATCATTCCACCATTCTCCCCTTTAGCTGAGTCATCCAAAAAAACTATTCATTGACTCTCACTGGACTGGTGTTTTGTTCATTAAATAAGACTGCAAAGTATATTTTTAATGGAAAGAAACCTTAAAAGTTGATTTAAGTGTCTTATCGTCTTTTAATGAAAATCTGTTGGTCCAAAATAATATAATTCCATGATTTAAAACATTTAATTAAACCATCAATTCATACAACATGAACAAAACTTAACAAGTTATTCAATGAACTGGCTGGGTTCATTCATGTGCAGGTCTTAGGAGCTCCAACTCTGGAGCCGGCCTCCTGCTTCCTCCTGTTTCTCTTACTTCCACCACATGCAACTTTAGCCAAGTTGCTCATTTCCTCTAAGCTATGTCTTTCCTTATTGTAAGTGAGTATTACAATAATATAATAGTAATTCCCTTTTTGCAGATTGTTTTAAGAAAAAAAACTGAGATAGCCCTGTAAAGTGCACATGGTCCATTTTGTGTGTTCAGTACATATTAGCTGTCATATCACAGTATAGAAACACCTGGCAGAGTCTTTTCTTACCTTATTTGAAAGCCAAATGGAAATATAATTAACTTGGATTTACAAATTATTTCACATTTCTACATCTCTCTTTCTTCCATGGTCACAAACAAGCGATTTCTCACTATGCTTTGAAAGTTTAAAATATATTTGTTTAAGAAGGTCCTATCATATTCAAATAATTAAAGCCAAAATGAGGTAGGAATTACATTATATTGTAATTTCTTGAATTCTTTTTTGTGTGCAAACATGACCTCAAATTCATGGGCTAACTTTTTCTTCACATTAGCAGAAACTGTAATGTTCGGAAAGATTCCTCAGACATCTGGAATTTCTCATAGAAATTCTAAGATTCCAGGGGCGTTCACAGAGGCACACAGAAAAACCAGAGACATGACAATAAATACTCAAAAGTGTACACTGTAGGTGTATTTAAGTGTTGACTACTCACTTATCTGGTAGCTCCCGCTATGGCCATTCAGGGCTGTTTTATAGTCTCCTCCCTACAACTGAGCTGGTTTGATGATGGATTGACCTATTTATCCTCTTCTTTGTTCAGGCCCGTTGATGTCTGTCAACAATGACAATGTGGGAGGATTCTCCTAGAGGAGGCATACAAATATTAATGTCTGATCACACCTGCTTTATAGAAAATAGGTTTACCTGAATTACAAACACAGCAACTTTTACAGAGCAGAAGTTTCTATTCATTTTGTGGCATAATTTTTATGTTAGCTTGGTTCTTGTGTGCATGGATGTGTATGTATGTTTCTTAATCAGAAAAGGACTTCATTTGCCTATTCAGAGCTCTAATGTATTTTATTCTTCAAACGTAATGGCCTTCATCATTTCACTAAGCAACTTAAGCACAAGTTCACTCTTGTTTAGAAATTAGGGAATCTGCTTCCATTAATCTCGATAGCATCTTGATCTCCGTTTCAAGCTGGGTTTTCCAAAATCCAAAATGCTGAGACAGAGTCTGGGTACAAAATCTTTATTAGGAATCCACACTTGGGAAAAGGAACGAGGTGGAAGTAACTTTGGGCAGATGAAGTAGAACTGCAGTGCAGGCTCCCGTAGAAGAGCCTAGAATGAGAGCTGACCATCACAGTGTCCCACATCAGGCTGAAAGGGCTGGACTTTTATGACCCTGCTACTCTCCATTACTAACATAGGCTGTCCTATAAGGGCATCACTTCAGCAAGGGGGCTATCTGCAGGGGAGGTGGGTCCCAGAGTGCCTGACAGCTGGACCATCTGCTGGGCACACTCCCTTGGGTGGGCAGTGCATCCTTCCTTGGAGGGGGAGCTGGCCGGCGCATCTCTGTGTCTGTCACGTTCGGCTTGTTAGCATGCCTTAAAAGTGGTGGGCTACAGGGTGCGGTGGTTAAAAATAACCCACTAGAGGCAGGAAAAAATATTAAGAAGGTGCATTTATCTCTTACATATTTTATTAAAAATTGTGGTAAAATATGTATTACATAAAATTTATCATCTCAACCACTTTTTTTTTTTTTTTTTGAGACGGAGTTTCACTCTGTTGCCTAGGCTGTAGTACAGTAGCTCCATTTCGGCTCACTGCAACCTCCGCCTCCCAGGTTCAAGCAATTCTCCTGTCTCAGCCTCCCAAGTAGCTGGGATTACAGATGCCCACCATCACGCCCGGATAATTTTTTGTATTTTTAGTAGAGACAGTATTTCACCATGTTGGCCATGCTGGTCTTGAACTCCTGACCTCAAATGATCTGCCTGCCTCAGCCTCCCAAAGTCTTGGGATTACAGGCAAAAGCCACAGTGCCTGGCCAATTTTAACCACTTTTAAGCATACAGTTCGGTAGTGTTCACATTTGTTGTGCAACCACCACCACCACTCTTTTTATTTTGCAAATCTCTGTACCTAGTAAACAATCCCCATTCCTTCCATCCTCCATCCTTTGGCAACCACCATTCTACTTTCTGTCTCTGTGAATTTGACCTAGGTACTTCAACTACCTCAAATAAGTGGAATCATACAGTTTGTGTCTTTTCGTGTCTGGCTTATTTCATTTAACATAAGCTCCTAAAGCCTCATCCATGTTGTAGCATATTCTGAACTTTCTTCCCTTTTAAGGATGAATAATAATATTTCATTCCACATTTTCTTTATCCTTTTGTCTTTGTCTCTCTGTGTTGCTATAACAAAATACCTGAGACTGAGTAATATATAGAGAACAGAAAGTTATTTCCTACAGTTCTGGAGGCTGGAAATCCAAGATCAAAGCATCTGCAAGTCTTTGTTTCCAAGAAGGCACCTTGTTGCAGTGTCCCCTGGAGGGTATTAACACTCTGTCCTCACATGGCAGGCGAGACGGAGGGAAGGGCACAAAGGACAAATGTGGTGTCCTCATAAGGTAGAAGACATGGAAGAAAGTGGCAAACGCGCTCCTCCAGCCCTTCCATAAAGGCACTAATCCCACGTCTTAATCACCTCCTAAGGGCCCCATCTCTTAGTTCTATCACTTTGAGAGATAAGTTCCAACTTATGAATTGTGGAGGGACACATTCAAACCATAGTGCTATTTATCTGTTGATGAGCACTTGGATTATTTCCACCTTTTGGCTGTTGTGAATAACGCTGCTATGGACGTGAGTTACAAATATCTTCTCAGGACGCTTCCTTCAATCCTTCTGGAGATACACCCAGAAGTGGAAATGCTAGATTATGTGGTAATTTTATTTTTAATTTTTTGAGGAACCTCCATACTGTTTCCTATAGCAGCTGCACCACCTCACATTCCCACCAACAGTGCACAAGGTTTCCAATTTCTCCTTGGCTCACCAACACTCGTTATTTTCTGATTTTTTTTAATAGTAGCTATCCTAATGGGTATAAGGTGATATTTCATTGTGGCTACTTCACCTTTCTAACATTTGCTGGTGATGTATAATACAAACTCTCTGTTACTGCAGTGGCAGATGTATGAACTCGTTCACCCAGCAAGGAGCTCGGAGCAGAAGCAAGGCTGAGAGCACGTTCAGGGTTGGGGGCCCTGGGAAGGCCATTTCAGTGTAGAAGTGTGAGATGGTAAGTCTGTAAACATATACTGGGGTGGGGCTTAAATATTTTATAAGTAAAGGTATAAGATTAAAAGAGCTCACAAACTGTTTCAAGAGGAGTACTTCTGTATTCCAAAAGTTAGAACCTAGAATCCTCAGACCGTGATTGTTTCCTAGTTCTCAGTCAAAAGCCCGTATACAACTGTTATCTTTTGACTTGTACAAAAAAAAAATAAAACACCTAAAACCTAAACATTAAAACCTAAAATTAAAATGTGCAAAACTCGGGGTGGGCGCGGTGGCTCACACCTGTAATCCCAACACTTTGGGAGGCCAAGGTGGGAGGATCATCTGAAGTCAGGAGTTCGAGACCAGCCTGGCCAACATGGTGAATCCCCCGTATCTACTAAAAATAGAAAAATTAGCTGGGCATGGCAGAGGGCACCTGTAGTCCCAGCTACTCAGGAGGCTGAGGCAGGAGAATCACTTTGAGCCAGGGGGCAGAGGTTGCAGTGAGCTGAGCTTGCACCAGCCTGGGTGACAGAGCAAGACTCTGTTACAAAAAGTAAAATAAAATAAAATATGCAAAACTCATTTTTGGGGGAGGAGTAAAAGTTGAAATGAAGAGTAATAAAACTGAACAGAATCTAAAGATGTTTGAAGTAACATTTAGGAGTAAAACCTGTAGATAAGAAAAGAGGCATCTCTCCTTAACACCATTCTTGGTTGTTCTCAAAGGCAAAAACCTGAATTACTGCATGGAAAATGTCAATGTTGAGGTGTTTAGGGAAACTTGAAGTGATTGGCACAGGATTGCCCATGGTTTTTTTTTTTTTTTTTTGGAGACTAGTGACTTACATAACTGTGTGCCAAAAACAGCACTGCAAGATGATAACAAAAAATAAATAGAATCAGACAGTCCTATTAGACACGGTTCGCTTCTGTGTAAGTTCACCTACTGAGTGAGTGTCAAAATACACAAGTGCGCAAATAAACTTTCCAAGGGCTCTCTAGTGGGTTTTGTACTAAAAGCCAAGTCTTCTTTTTCCATCCAATCCCTTTCAAACAAAAGAGTGCCTGGGTAAGATGAAAAACAGAGATTTCTAAGGGATACTTTAAAAACTTAAATGTTAGATATCAGAATGATGAGTTATTTATAAAGATGTGAAAGACTAATTTAGATTAATCAATTTGTACATTAAGTTCCACAGAGGAATTACATTTATCCCAGCACAAATCAAGAAGATGACTTGAGACTTAGATGACTTGAGACTAACAGAAAGTACTCCAGCGATGTGTTCCAGAGGGAAGCCTTGAATTTCATGGTAACCATCACAAGCTCCCAAGATTTGGTCAATCTTTGAAAAGAGTGGCAATGATGAAATAAAGCACTAACATATTGGGGGTCTAAGATTTGCATTTATTTCCCATATGCTTTTAGAAACCCAGATAACTCAAATGATCTCTAACTTCAAAAAGTTGTATGAATAAAATGCTGTCAGGGAGGTTTGAACCATTCGTGAATATCCAGGTGTCTGAAAAGTGCCTGGAGTTATTGAAACCATTGTAATAATAAAGTAATCTGGATGTCTCCTAGGGTGCAGAGCCGGATTTGTTATTCTCCACACTACCAGATGCAAAGCCAAATGTTCCATGTTCATAAAAAATGCATCTAGAGTTGCCCATATTCATAAACAATATTTGCATGCATGAATTTTCCATTTCTTGTGATATTAGAGCTGGGATAAAGTAGCAAAACTACTCCCCTAAATCATGGTTAAAAGAAGATAAACCTTTACAATTAGCATCTGCCACTTCCCTGAGATAAAAGAGGGTTTCGTTTCTGTTGTGTTTTTGTTTTGTTTTGTTTGTTTTCTTGATTAAGTTGACACAGTTTGGGAAAAGCAAATGTAAGCCAAAAATTCGAGGTCAGCTCAGCTCCCCAAGGGTGAACATATTGTGCATAAAAAGATAGACTATTTAGCACTGAAGATTTTGTATTATAATCAAATTGTTCCAATCTGTTCTAAAATGTAGAGAAAGTCATTTAATAAAAGTGAAGTCACAGATTGCCACAAAATAAAAGATTTTAAAACTAGCCTAAGAGCATTCTTATATAAATACCAAAAAGGATGGCCTAGACTTGTCATATAAAATTCAGCTAACTCATGTGCTTTGGCCCCCAGCCAAGGTATGTTAGCTACCAGAAGAACTACAGCCTCACGCCAATGAGTTCCTGAGCCTGAATCCAAAGGCAATGATGACCCCAGAGTACCGTTAGTTTCAATTTAGAGATGGAGTTTTGTTTACCAAAGGGGTCAAGATATTTTATATCCTTTATTAATGGTCACATTTAATATAATACCATTAATAATAATATCTTCATTTATTATGAGTTTTTTACTATGTGCTAAGCAATAAGGCAATATGCTAAGTACCTTTATACAGGGATTGTTTAATTTAATTCTAAAAAAAGAGACTTGTGAAGTACTATTATTATTTCCATCTTACCAGTGAAGAAACTGATGCTCAGAGAGGGAAAGTAATTAGGAGGTAATGTTTGTTATTTTTTTGATCTTTCTATATTTATTTATCTTTTTTGATCATTTTAGATTTCTATTTACTACTAGAAAAAACGAGAGAGAGAGAGAGAGAGACACACCAGGATCTGAAACCCTGGGAGTTTTGTCAAAGCTCTAATTTTCAAAATGCCCCCTAGAAACCACTATGTACATCACAAAACAAAAACAAAAACAAAAAGCACCTTGTCATGGGTAAAAGTTCCCTTTAGGAAGGATTGCTAGAGCATTTCATGTCAATCTGAGTGATCTTTTCATTTTGAAGTCCCATTGACGATCACAATTTACTCTTTCCTTTTGCCACCAATATCTCCAATTTCTCATGTCCAAGACATCCTAAACTCTGTCTGCAAGGTATCAAAATATATTTGTCTATATGTCAAGCCCATGCCAATTTCCAAGAGCTCTGAATTCACAGCATGCTGTGCCTGGCCTAGGACTTGGTGCAGGCTTGCAGAGGGTCATGGAAATCAGGCAGTCAGCCAGAGAGCTGCCTCTGTCCTTCACATCCAGTCCTTAACGCCTATAGGCTCTATCTTATTACAGAAATCAGAGTAATGGGAGATGTTCTTTCTGTTTGGTCTGTTTATCTGCACGCCACACCTTGAAATGAACTTCACTTAGATCCAATGGAAAAATCCAGTAGATGAGAAGGCGAAGCTTTGGCTTAAGAAAAAGAAAACCTGGGTTTTCTTTCCGAACCCTTAAGTAAGCTGTCAAATGTTCTGGTATGATAACAAGAATTCAAAGGGAATATTGAAAATCATAAGCCAATTTTTCAGATATTTTATCTACACACCACTATAGGCTTCCCTTGTTACCCTGAAACACCAGAAGGAGATACTAGAGGGAATCTGAACCCAAGGGTCTCAGAGCTGACCTGGAGAGGAGACTTCACGTCATTGTGAGTCACACCAGCTGCATTTGGGAACTAAGCCAAATGGGGTTGCTAAACACATGGGATAATGACTCAGAAAGTCTGGATCCAAGTCTGTGCTCTGTCTTAATTTGGGGAAGATAATCTTTCAAATCCTCAGTTCTCTTACCCATAAAATGGGAATACAAACATCTCATAGAATTTTTGTGACTAATAAAATAGTGCATGAAAAATCTGACAGAAATCCTGGCATGTGGGAAGTACTTCAAAAACATTACTTTTCTTTTTCTGTGGTTTTTTTTTGTCTTTCTTTTTTTTTTTTTTTTTTGGTATTTTAGCTCTGTGATACCAGCTTTGGCCTATTTTCCCTCAGTCAATCAAATTGATTGAAGGCTTTGGCATCATTGTGGCACAGACTTTATCTTCCTTTTGCACAACTGTTAGTGTCTCATACTTATGTTTAAAATAAAGGAGAGATCAGCTTTAAACGCATTTTTAATAATGTATAATTTCAATGGTAGTAATTACTTTGGTCCTTGCCTGTTGAATAATTTCATATAGATCAAAGAAGATAAAAAAACAAATGTTTAGAATTTTTAAGAGGAGTCCTACCAGTTTTTGAAAATTCTATAGAAAAGATTTGCTTTTTTAAAATTGATAAGGCCCTGTAGGTTACTTTTAGCTTTTCAGAAATAGTACTGCATGCATAAAAGATGTGAGCTGAAACATTTTTGTCCTCAAGGGCAAAAAAGAGAAACCACCTCCTAGCTTCCCTGCCCCCTCCTCCAGGACCCAATTGCCTGGTAGAGCAGTGGCCATTAGAGGGCATTCGGTTGTGTTCCTGACACACACTTGACTCACTCCCATGCCCCAAACACCCCCTACACCACCTTGCATTTCCATCTTCCAAACACTATTTACTTTCCCAGACACACTCTCAAATAAGCCTCCCCTTACTGCTGCACTCACCTTCTTCAACCCCTACGATGTCTGTAGTCTGCACTCTGCCTTACGTGCTCTGTCATCCACAGCTCTCAGCAATTTAGCTTTATCTTCCAGAAGCAGATTCTAAATTCCTCAGTGGTAAAGACTACACCCTTCTTTTGCTTGCCACTGATACAACGAAGCGTAATTGTTAAGCACCTGTACCCTGAAACTAGACTGTCTAGGTTCAAACTCCAACTTCCTACTTAGCAGCTGTGACCATAAGCAAATTTCTTAACCCCCTGTAACTCAGGAATCAGAAAAGTCTCTACTTCATTGAGTTGTTACGAATACTATAAAATCTTAGAAAAGGGCTCAGCATATCACAAGTGCAAAGAAATTGTTAGTTTTTATTATAGTGCCGGGCCAAGTATATTAAGCCTCTTCATCAGTAAACATGAGAAGTGGTAGATGAGGCAACAGTGTGGGATCAATAGATACAGGAGAAAAGTGGCCCCTAGCTGCCAAGAATTTACAGTCATCCTGTTGGTTACGGAGTAAACAGAGAGTAACTCACAGGCCAGGGCTGTTTAAGACTCATCTTTGTTTCCTGGGACATGGTAAAGTCCATGACACATGGCAGGTATTCAACAAATGCCTGTTGATTTATGTGGGGTTTTTTTTGTGTGTGTGTATATATATATATGTGTGTGTGTGTGTATATATATATATACACACACACATAAAATACTATTACATATTACATATTATTGTATTATTATTTTATAATATAATTTTGTCTTTTTTTACTGTTGTTTTGTGTCATAATTAAGCAAATCATAGGACTGCAGAGTGAGGTCTATGCAGTAGACACCTGTAAATACACATTGCTGCTACATAATAGTCCAAAAACAGCTGTAAAATAAAAAAATTCATAGAACTGAAAAACACGGTGGCATTAAAAGTGAACCATCAAATTTCTCATTTCACACTCTTTTGTGTGGCTCCATTTGTGTCCTTGGATTGGTTTCTGCTGGCTGGCTGGCATGAATTTGACCAAGGCTACAGCATCAGGCTGTTCCCCATAATGGCGAAGATCATAGAGCAGCAGAAATCCCAGAGATGCACAGCCAGATCATAGCGTTACCGCCTTCTCACTTTTCCACTCCAGGCTTACCAGGCTTCCCCACCCATGAGACCTTTGATTAGGGACAGAGCTGGGATACACCCTCCTGGTTACATCGAAGAGAGCTGTGGATCCAGTTAACGAGGTTTCCAAATGATTAGTCTAAATTGTCACTCCTTGCCTTACCTGTTCTGAGAAGGTGGCTCTTGATCTCCAAGGTCAAATTCCCACACCTCTCTACCCCATGTACCCCATGCTTAGATAACAATACAGTGCCTCTCTTTCTTTACCTCTTTCCCCACAATTTCTTCCTTTTTCTTCAATCTTAGCCCATCCTTGAGGCCTGTCACCAATAGGAAGAGTCTTCAGTCCTACCAGTTTCCTGGACACCTGACTATATTGCCCATCATTGTCTATGCTCTGCCCACCGAGAAGATGTATCTGGATCCTTGGTGTCACTTAATGCGGAACTGTTTGAATACCACGTTGTACTGACCTGACTCTCCCAAGCACCAACAACAGCCTGGTGAGCGACTCTCAGGCCAGGCCCTGGTCCCCTCTTCATTATTCTGCCTCAACACTGAATGTTAATATTGAACTAGAGCAGCCTCCTGTCTTGATGAATCCTTTGCTGGAGCCCCAGGTATGGAGTACTTCTGAAAGCCCAGAGACAAAGCTTTACTCAGAGGCTACTGACTGTGAATTTCATTGCCTGAAATCTTTTTTTTTTTTTTTTTTTTTTTTTTTTGTCTGGCTCTGTCGCCCGGGCTGGAGTGCAGTGGCCCGATCTCAGCTCACTGCAAGCTCCGCCCCCCGGGTTTTACGCCATTCTCCTGCCTCAGCCTCCCGAGTAGCTGGGACTACAGGCGCCCGCCACCGCGCCCGGCTAGTTTTTTGTATTTTTTTAGTAGAGACAGGGTTTCACCGTGTTCACCATTGCCTGAAATCTTATTGTCCAGAACAGTTTGGCTATTCCTCTTTAACCGTGCCATTTAATAAGAAGGAAATATTGCTGAGGCTAACACAGAAAATTTTTTTTCAAGCCTATGAATATACCATCACATATTTACATACTAATCACATGTGACTAAATATTTTTATTGCTTCCAAAATATTATTATAAACTACTCTGTAATAAATACCTTGTACATACATATTTGCATACATGTCTGTTCATTTCCTCAAGATATACTATTTAAAGTGAAATTGCTGAGTCAAAATATAGATCATGTCTGGGGTCTTTGATATATTTGATATATTTGATATATATGGTCCTTCGGAAAGATTGTACCAGTGGAGAATTCCATCAGCGTGTGTACGAGTCCTAGAATTCTAAAGGTAATAGGAATGTAGAGAATCATCAGCCTAATCTTTTACTTTGAAGATGAGGATACTAAAACGAAAGACGGCAAGCCATTTACCCACAGATGGAACGCAAAGTGTAATTTTTGGTGAGCACATTTTTCTTTGTGTTCATCTCTTTATATTCTAGCACACTGCTATCATTAGAGATAAACTCTCGAATGGTAAATACAAGGATTTAAATGTGGGCAACAGACTCTGTTCCCACCATCATTCCTATTTCTGATTTTTCATATTCCATATCACATTATAAATGCATGAAATGGAGTTTCAATATTTAGGGACTATCTCAAGCTTCAAATTACCGAGAAGGAAATTCCAGTTAGAAAAATGCCTGTAGCTTACTCCGTGGTCCTGCCTTCTGGTCTCTTTCAAACCCATCTGTTTTCTTGATGGACAGGGCTGGACTCAGAAACCAGATGTGTTTTTCTTCGAGATGCCATTCTTCTAGAGGACCGAATGCCTGACACATGACAAAAGGCAGGAATTTGCTTATTTATGTTAGTTGTTAAATGTGGAACAAATCAACAGTATGTCTCTTCTTAAGAATACTTTGGCAGGCTGCAGCTTTTCTTTCTGTTTACAAATCTTTGCTAACATAATTACAGGATTTCTTTCCTTAAATATCTTATCCTGAAGTTAGCTGTCCTGTAGCTCCCACAGCAGATCCCAGAATCTTGGTGCACCTGTGGAAATTGTCACAAATATAGCACCAATAGCAAACAACTATGGCTTCTCAATTTTGCTCTCAAATAATGGGCTCGAGGCCAGAAAGAATGACTGGATGTCGCAAGTACCTGATGGCCACATAAACATTTGAAGTATCAAGCATCAGAAGAAAGGTAAGCAGGTTGATATCAAGTACTGTGCCAGACAATATGACTACAATACAATGGTGAGCAAAACAGATATGAGCAGAATTTACAATGGTAGAGTTTTCTTGTTTGGAGGTTTTCCAATTACTTTGCTTAAGTCCAATTTATAAAGAACTTTATCAATTTAGCTCTGGTTTCTTTGCGGTGACAAATACAACATCCTGAATCCTGAATAAATCCTCAGTGAGGTCTGTGGTGGACACCTTGCTCTCTTGCAGCATAAAAGCTTGAAGGTATCATGTATGTCCTACTCTTTCACGAAAAAAAGTCCACAGGGCTTTAAAAAGTCTTCTGCAGGGCAGTTCTATTTTCCCCCCAACCGAGTCTCTTCCAATAAGATTCCATTCCATGATGCCAGGCTTGATTTACATAGAATGGAGAATCTCACTGGACTAAGAAGGAATCTTAGAATGTAATGACTTAGCTTATTATACGCTGCCAGAAAATCTGTAATTTCAAAATGTATTCAGTAGGTCTTGGTTGATTCATGCTTTTCTAGGTCCTAAAATTTCTTTTTCTAAATTGATACATAATAATTGTACATATTTATGAGGCACATGTGATATGTTGATACATGTCTATAATGTGTAATAAGTCCTAAAATTTCTTGTAAGAGCTCTCTCTGTTTATTAATTCAATAACCTGTTTTGTTCCACATAATGGCCCTTTAAAGGTAGTTGCAGTCAGGCCAATTAACAGATGTATTACAGGCTCAGACTTAAGTACTGTGTAATCGAGACCAAATTACTCCTTGACTTAAATTCAGACAATTTTGTTTTGGTTAATCCTTTAAAAAATTTTAAAAAAACAATTCCTCTATACCCCAAAAAAATCCATACAAGCACTTGCAACAGGAAGGAGGCTAGGTCTGAAGAGTTTCAGCAGTCTTCCTTGCTTTCACATCCCTTTTAGCCAATCAGATGCCTTGGAAATCCACGACTAAGAAGAGTCAACTCTTTGGGTGTTTCATTTCTTTTAATGTCTTCTGGTGGATTACAACTGACAGCAGGAAGAAAAAGTCCCAATTCATTCACTCATTCATTTGTCCATTTACTTTCTTATTCATTTATCCTTTTATTCCACAAGTTGGCGGGGGGAAACATTTTTGTATAAACAGGCCCCCCCAGCCGACCCCCCCTCCCCTGTTCCCCCTGTTCCCCCCCCCCTCCCCCCTCCCACCCTTCTCCCCCGCCCCCCCTCTCCTGTACCACTTCCATGTTTTTTTGACATAACGACACAGGTCAGGTTGGTCATAAAGATGCCATGAGAACCTGAGATCTCACTTTGGCATCAAGTTTTACTAGTAATTTCAGGAAGTCATTGTGAAGCCACAGGAGGGGAGAGGTCTGCCACGCTCAGTGCAGCTCTCAGGGACCTTTCCTGCATGGGTCATGTTGTGGGCGCTGAAGGTGTGGTGGCAGTTCACATCCGTTGCACAGAAAGAGTGGCCACATCAACGCATGAAGGTTTTCCATCTGGGTATTTACTCACGAGTCACATAGCATATGTATATGGTTGTATTCTGGAGGTCTGCTTCCATCTATTTGTAGATTCCAGGTCTGGGTTACATCAAACAATCTACACCAAACAGGTGCATCCTAAACACCATTTGTAGCGATGTTGCGAAAGTCTAGCCATTAACCTGCTTATAGAAAGTTCAGAAGTCTCACAGGAAGAGAATGGATTGCAAAAAACCTGCTGTTTTATCAATTAACTTCCCATTACCCAATCTGAGCAGGC